GATCGTCGGCCCCCCCCCCCCCCCCCCCCCCCCCCCCCCCCCCCCCCCCCCCCCCCCCCCCCCCCCCCCCCCCCCCCCCCCCCCCCCCCCCCCCCCCCCCCCCCCCCCCCCCCCCCCCCCCCCCCCCCCCCCCCCCCCCCCCCCCCCCCCCCCCCCCCCCCCCCCCCCCCCCCCCCCCCCCCCCCCCCCCCCCCCCCCCCCCCCCCCCCCCCCCCCCCCCCCCCCCCCCCCCCCCCCCCCCCCCCCCCCCCCCCCCCCCCCCCCCCCCCCCCCCCCCCCCCCCCCCCCCCCCCCCCCCCCCCCCCCCCCCCCCCCCCCCCCCCCCCCCCCCCCCCCCCCCCCCCCCCCCCCCCCCCCCCCCCCCCCCCCCCCCCCCCCCCCCCCCCCCCCCCCCCCCCCCCCCCCCCCCCCCCCCCCCCCCCCCCCCCCCCCCCCCCCCCCCCCCCCCCCCCCCCCCCCCCCCCCCCCCCCCCCCCCCCCCCCCCCCCCCCCCCCCCCCCCCCCCCCCCCCCCCCCCCCCCCCCCCCCCCCCCCCCCCCCCCCCCCCCCCCCCCCCCCCCCCCCCCCCCCCCCCCCCCCCCCCCCCCCCCCCCCCCCCCCCCCCCCCCCCCCCCCCCCCCCCCCCCCCCCCCCCCCCCCCCCCCCCCCCCCCCCCCCCCCCCCCCCCCCCCCCCCCCCCCCCCCCCCCCCCCCCCCCCCCCCCCCCCCCCCCCCCCCCCCCCCCCCCCCCCCCCCCCCCCCCCCCCCCCCCCCCCCCCCCCCCCCCCCCCCCCCCCCCCCCCCCCCCCCCCCCCCCCCCCCCCCCCCCCCCCCCCCCCCCCCCCCCCCCCCCCCCCCCCCCCCCCCCCCCCCCCCCCCCCCCCCCCCCCCCCCCCCCCCCCCCCCCCCCCCCCCCCCCCCCCCCCCCCCCCCCCCCCCCCCCCCCACACACACACCCCCCCCCCCCCCCCACCCCCCCCCCCCCCCCCCCCCCCCCCCCCCCCCCCACCCCCCCCCCCCCCCCCCCCCCCCCCCCCCCCCCCCCCCCCCCACCCCCCCGACCGTGAGAACCACACCATCTCAGTAAACCCGCCCCACCACATACTCACCCTCACATCAAGAAACCCCGACCTACCCCCGATGTAGCACACTAAGACCCGTTTTGCACCCCCTGAACTATACTCATCCCCTAAAGAAAGCGAGACGATACCCATCCCACAAAGCAATAGCAAAACTGCACAGATTCGGCCTCGACGACGTGTTCTGGCAGACTGTTCCAGGCGTGCACAACCCTCCGCTCGAAACACAGGGGGTGTGGGATTTTCTTCAGATCTGGTACCACGAGTTTGTACCTGTGCCCACGTGTGGTGCATGGAACTCGCAAGTGGAGTAACGACCTTAGCATGGGGAAATGGCCGAGATGTAAAATACGGTAGGTCATGATAAGATCCACTCGAACACGGTGATATGACAAGGTGTAGAGCCCAAGTTTCATGCACCGGTTTTCATACGATAAGCATCTCAGGCTGGGGATCAACTTGGTGGCGATGTGTTGTACTCGTTCGATCTTTTGCGCTTCGCCGCGAGTGATCGGACAGTATGCAGGCGAGCCGTACTCTAGCATTGGTCTGACGATGGAAGAGAAGAGGCGAGTGGCGACGTCCTCAGACCAAGTGCAGAAGCTGCGTTTCAGCGCCCAGAGCATGCGCAGTCCGTTTCGATACAGTTTGTTGGTGTTGTCGACGGACTTCAAGTCGCAGCGTGAGAGTACACCTAGGTCTTTCACGGAAGGTGTGGGATGCAGTGTTTGGCCGTCTAGGGTGTACGTTCGTCCGTGAACAGCCTTCCCGAGACTCATGAATAGGGACTTGACCGGGTTGACCGGTAGGTGGACTTCAGCAGACCATACTGCGAGGCGGTCGAGGTCTTGTTGGAGAATGTCACAGTCATCGAGAGTATCAATTTCTCGCCAAATTTTGAGGTCATCCGCAAACAGTGCACACGGCGACCGTAGAAGCTGGGGCAGCTCGTTGATGTGGATGAGAAACAGAGTAGGTCCCAGTACCGTACCTTGAGGTACACCACTGGTCGAGGGATACCAATCGGTTTGATGGCCGTCCACCTGTACCCTCCATTTTCTTCCAACGAGAAATTCATGGATCCATCGATGTAACGATCCTCCGACACCACACGACCTTAATCTGTCTAGAAGCAATTCATGATTGACTTTGTCGAATGCTTTGCTGAAGTCGATGTAGATTACGTCGACGGACTTTCCCCGGTTCAGTGCTTGCAACCATTCCTGTCTCGTCACAAGTAAGTTTGTAACACAAGAATATCCCATCCTGAATCCGTGTTGTGCCGGTGTCAGAAGTTCTTTCGATTGTAACAGATGTATTAGACGCTTTTTTACTATCTTCTCGATCACTTTGGCCAAAACGGGTGTAAGACAAATTGGCCTGTAGTTATCCACCTTACTGGGGTCGCCACCTTTCGGGATCGGCCTCACCACCGAGCGCTTCCAGTCGTTTGGCAATGAGCCCTCAGACAATGATTTGTTGAATAGATCCGTAACCACAGGCGAGATAATGGCAGCTAGTGATTTGATAATTAGCGGATGAAGCCCGTCAGGCCCTGCAGGCTTGGTACCGTCAAGGTTCGCAAGTAGCAGGCGCACCTCGTCGACATCACAAACTAAACTGTTGAGTTCTACAGGAATGTTACTCGCTGAGATGGGTATGGACGCCGCGTCGTTTGCAAACACGGAAGCGAAGTGAGCGGCCAGTGCGGACGCGCGATCGGAACTGGAAGTTAGCAGGTGTCCGTCCGCGTCTTCCAGACATGACACGTAACCTTTTGGCTTCAAACGGCGTTTCACGTAAGCAAAGATCTTCTTTGGGGCCATCCTCGCGTCAGTTGCAAGCTTTTCTTCGAACTTCAGGCGCTTTATCAATTTCACTTTGTTGCAAATATTTCGCTGTCTTTTATATGCTTCGTAATCAGTGGCGGAGCCAGAGAGGCGAAATGCGTCCCACATTCTTCGCCGTAACCGAGCCAGCCTACCATATTCCTTGTCGAACCAGTGTGGTTTGATTGGTCCGACTTTCTGAAATTTCAACGGCACAAACTGAGAACAAAGCAAAGCCAATCCTTCCTTTATTACTGTCCAACCGTCCTCCACAGATGTAACATGCGGTACAGACCAATCCATTTGGCTCGCTGCTCGATTCAGTCCATCGAAATCAGTTTTCCAGTAGTTGTAAGCTGGTTCCACCGGAGATACACTCGGCAAGTTCAGTTCCATAGTGGCTATCAGCACGGAATGGTCGCTTTTAGCTAGGGGCTCCTGGATTCGTATGTCATGCAACCGCTGTTCGCAATTTGTCACCATCAAATCAAGGCACGATGGGTTCGAACGCGCCGTCATGCGCGTAGGTTGGTATATGTGTTGCGATGCCCCAGTTTCAAGCAACAAATCAACAAACTTTGATTCGACTTCAGAATACCCGGGCATGAGTTGGATTTCAGGCCATTGAATGTGGGGACAATTGAAGTCACCCATGAGTAGAAAACATGGACGACTCATGTTGTTCCGAAGATGCGGTAGCCAATCTAAAGAGCGGTTCAGAGGGCTACGGTAGAATGCACCTACTGTCAGCTTGCCGAGCCTGAGGTTGATCGAGCACCATACCTGTTCACACAGTCCATCTTCACTTCGGTACACGCTTACAAGCCTCCCACGCAGGGAAGACCGTATATAGAGTAAGACACCACCACGAGGATTTGATATTCTATCGCAGCGAAAGCATGAGTAGCCACTGAGATCGACTTCCTCTGCCATTACCTCAGAAGTTAGCCATGTCTCCGCCAGTGCTACGACGTCTGGTCGCTCAGAGGCAACGAAGCGACACAGCTCATCCCGTTTGTTCATAAGGCTACAGATGTTTGTGAATGCAACACGGAGGTCCTGAGAGGCACCGCGGGACGTGCCTGGAGGTTGATCAACCGACTGATACGGGTTCGTGCACCCTTCTTGATCACTCGAAAATTTACGATGTGTAGATCAGTTTCGCCTTCTTCTGTACGGCGTTTAAGCTCAAGGACCGCAGTCTTCAAGCGGTTCCTCTCTTCGGGTTCCAAGTCTCGGCGGATGTGAACCCTGGTGCCTTTAAGCCTGGAGAGACGAGACAGAATGAGTTGTGGCGTGTTGTGGTCAGCGAAGGTGATTCTTAAAGGTCGACATGATTGGTTAGTATGCTGACCAAGTCGGACTACTTGTTTTATCGTTACGCTGCCTTCACCCACATCCAACAGTTTATCAACGAGCCCCTGAAGGAACTCAACATCGTGATCATAACGTTTCTGAGGGTTTTCATCTTTTGACTCTGGTGCATGGAACACCATGAGATTATAACGCCTCAGGGAGATCGGTGACGAACTTGAGGCAGCAGGAGTGGAGGGGATTGTGGTTTTGGACGGTCGTCTATCGTTAGGGGGAGGTTGAAAGTTGTTGCGTGAACTTTTGCGTTTTTGAATGATCCATTTATCTTCAGTGTTCAGAGGTTCACAGGTATGCGCTGAAAGATTTGGGGGCTCCGACTCTGAGTCGTCAATCTGTGGGGAACATTGGTTGTGAGAATCGGTAGGGGTAGAAGACGCTGGCGGTGGTGCAGATCGTGGAGTTGCAGGGGAAGGGGAGTTCACAGAGGTACTCTCACGAGCGCGTTTGACCCCACGAGCTGAATGAAGTGGTTTCGTCTGGGAGATGGCTTTTCCCGGAGCCGGTAGTGGTGGTCTCCGTGCATTTTGTTGTAGTAAACCGCGGCATTTATCACACACAACTTGGAAAAATCTATGTCGGATGTCAACAGATTTTCGGAAAACTTCCACGGATAGGCCGATACACGAAATATGAAACAGAACTTCACAGCCGAAACAACGAAGTGCATGGGCCTTTTGTCCTACAACTTTCGAACATGAGCCACAAGTAGATTGGCACGGCATCACACGTTGGAGCAAATCCAAGATGGCGGACACAGACGGTAATTTGATTTATCAACAAGTTCTCCGAAACAAGCGAGAGAATGCTCACCAAATTTTCACAACTTGAAGACTACACCAAAAAGAAACTTTTTGGTACACAATTTACACAGATGAAACACAAATAACACAGTAATCCAGAAGCGGAAGTAGAATCCAGAAGCAATGCTCAAAAATCCGCGGCGTTCGTGGGTACAGCCAAACGTCAAGGGGTACAGCCAAACTGAGCGTTTTTGTGATGCTCTGCTGATAGGCGGCTTTGCCTTCTCTTAGCAAACGTGTGCAGTTGTCATGTTGGACTACATAGTTGTCACAAGTTTCTGGTGCAACAGCTTCTCTGTACACTCGCTATGCCGCGTTACGTACTGTCATCTACTTTTGAGTACTGCTCCTGACGAAATAATCTGATTTACACTTGTTGCAGTCTCTTACCTCTCTCTTACCTCGACTGACTGTGTGTTTTGACGAACTCGAACCAGGCGACTTCCGGGGGTTCTTCAGCAAGCAACAACCAAGTTATAGCTGTAACCAGCTTAGCTAATTGATCGTAGTTTATGACGGTTCGCACAGTGTTATCGTTCTCATTCCCATATTCCGCATGGCAGACGAACTTGATACTGATGACTGCGTGATCACTGCGGCCCAGCGGGCAGCTTATAACCAACACATCAATCATGTGCTTCTCGTTGGTAAGCAGTAGATGCAGCACAGATGGCCTGTTACGTGTTCTGAGCCACGTGGACAAAGTGCTGTGATTGCAAAGTGGAACAGTGGTTATGGGCTCTTGTAAATCGGCTTTGAGTTGTTCTCCGATCATGACATGACATTCTACACAATGTACAATGTTTAGGCGATCCTGCCTGTTTTGTTTGATTGTCGCGCCCTCCAACGGACATCAGGATAGATGCATATCCCACCGGATCCGTCTCTTAGCGCGCTTGCGGAGAGTAAAACATTTTCTACCGCGGTGGAGGATGCTAGTGTTGCTAGGATAAGCCTGGGTTCTCCATAGAGTAGCGAGTCCGGATGACAAGTAATTCGTAATATTTTTATGAGCTTGGTTTTGGCACTCATCAGCACGCACAATAAGTTCCATTTGTCTTTTCCGTGCGGTAGCTTTTCCCACAATGTGATGGCGATAGATTCAGGGATATTTGCGCATACAACAGTCCAGGCACTATTGTTGGATCCATTTTTCGTTGATTTACTAGATAGGGTAATCGTTTATCCTGATATGCTGACAAGGTTGATTGTTTACGGTTTCTCCCTCAATTCGTGTCAACGGTGTTTCTTACAGAAGAGGCCGCAACGGCGGCCTCCCGGCTGACCTTTGCAGCAATCTCTGAAAATGTAACTGATGTTCCTGGGGGCTTTGTCTCGACAAGAGACATTTGAACTATAGGTACCGAGGGTTGGTGTTCGGCTGCTTCATCCTTGTTGATGCTAGATGTCAGGGCTAGTGGAATTTGTTTAACCAGACGTTACGAGTAGTGCCTGGTTTTCGTTACCATGAGTATGTTGGATTCTCATAAATACAGTCATTTTTCGCCCTAATTTCTACCAGTTGGAGAAATCAACGGAGATGGGACGTGGCTAACTGCAGTTCAGGGGATTGTGCAACATTCCGTTGCTTAGAGGGGGCTACGCTTCCGTGGTACACACACGTTTCCCCTACAACAAGCTTATCGTTTATTCACTACGCGGCTTCTGTGGTTAACCGCTCGCACTATCGAACTAGAAAAACAAGCACTTAAAGAGTGGGATAGTCGAGCACGTGGTGCAGAACCAAAGCGTATCTTGTGAGCGATTTCGCTCTCGTACTTGTTGTTGGGACACATTTGCACATTTTGAATGATAACATTCCAGATTGCGAGCCAGTAAAACCTATTCTACCACACTGTGACCTCCTCCTAACCCGCTCGGAGCCTTTTCGGATTCGAATTTTTCTGCCATTTTAAAATGGTGTCGTTAGCTGACCCAGTGGGTTGCTTGGCGTTCCGTACTTTTCTAGCTTTGAGAGCGGCGCACATCAGTCATGCGATCGTGGTGGTTGCAAGGTCAAAAGAACAATCGGCGTGGTCACGCTGTCCTCATGATGGGTTATGCAGGCGCACTGTCTGATAAGGTCACACGGAATGGAGAGTGACTGGAACCTGCTGACGGAAACTCAGCACCGCGCTGAAGGCAGATTGAGAAATCACAAATTCTTTCATAGCTGCGTTGAGAGACGCCAAATTGGAATAAGCTTAGACTTTTCGAACTGCCTCGAGCATTCTGTATCGAACGATGTCGCACAGAAAGGTAACCGACTCAATGTGATTGAGTTATCCGCTTGCACTTAATCATGGATGACAGTAAAAGCGCTTAGGATGGCACAGACTTTAATGGTAGAAGATAATTGCAAGTATGATGGATCACTGTGTGCGGCTGGTAAAACCGGTTCGAATGAGTGTACAGTGACAACGCAGCGAGAAGATAGAGAGGATAGAGAGGAATAAACTAAATGAACCAGGAACACGCACGACACGCATTTCAGTGAAACTGCGAACATCCATTTGAGATGGTCAGTTGCTCCACATGCTCCTCATTATCATTATCAACTGCAGCAAATCAGCCATATTAACTTATGATTCACTTCAAAAGAACAATGTTGATCTAAGGAACGTTGAATAATAAGATCAGAACTTTAATGTCAAAATCAAATATCCAGGTTTAAGGTGACTGTAAAAAAATACGAAACCAAAATAAAGTACGCCGTACAAAATCCAAACTATATCTAGAAACCAATGAAGCTTGATTTAACGCACGGTCTGGGCAGAAGAATAAAACGAGTTATCCTGTAACCGTAGGTCTATAAAGCTAATTAAATACACTGCATGGATTACCAATAGGTTTTGTAATCATAATGCAAGAAGGCAAAAATTATAAAGTTTGCAGCAGCGTGCGGAACAATTGGGCAGTGTCACAATAAAGAATACTACGCACGACCTTGAAAAGTCAAAGATATGCTATGGATCGAGAGTGAAAGGAAGAAATGTTCAATATGGTAACCGACTGTATCACACAGAGTGAAATCCCTGTAAAATGGGCAGAATAATTAGGGAATAGGTATATTGTGTCCTCAAGTAAGCAATCTAGGTTGGGGAATAAAGCAGAAATGCTTTTGGACTTTTCAATGCCTCTCCTGTCTACAACCTTCCATCCCGATCAGATGGCCATCATGCAAAAGGAGGCTGTATCGGCTCGATAAGTTTCTTGTTGCTTACCCTGCCGAGCGTCAGAATCT